AGGGAGGTCTTGTTAAGTGAAATCACAAATACGTGAGTGCCGCAAACATGGAGTTCGTTCTTGCGAGTTTGTGAGAAATGCTGATCGCAAATCCCGTTAACAATCGAACCCGTTCTGGAGTTTCGGATCGCTGCAACAATCAGTTGGTGGAGGTTGCTTCTCTTGCCAGTTTGGTGCACACTGTGTCAGAAAAAAATATTGCTTTAAGAAAAAATAAAAAAAGTCAAGTCGCACGTTTTGCAAAATCGCGTGGCTTCGGCTCGGGTTGTAACATGTATCATGGGACAGTGTTTCGTACTTCAAAAGAAAAGTACTAGTAATACAGTAATAGGAACTTAGTACACTGTACAATGCTTGAAGTACAAGTTGAAAGCTACACCTGTACATGCACCAATACGTATACAATCTCGTTGACGATGGTGAAGTACTTTGCTAATTATTTATACAAGAATGCAGGACAGATGACCTATTTGTACTGTGTTCTTGTACTTCTCTTGCAGACAACCTCACAAAATCCTAACTCGAGATACCGATATTCGTGAACTCGCGGCGAGCCCCACCCCGCACAAGACTGACCATCTAATCAACTCCCAATAGTGACCTACCTACACGCCAACTATTAGTTTAAATCGGCAAAGTCTCACCATGAGAGCTATCCTTTCCGTTTTGGTGGGCTCGCTCGGTATCCAACTGACTGCTGCAATCCTAAACGGACAAGTTGTCTCCCCAGACACGAAAACGTACGCGACTGGTGTACGAACTCGCGACGGCGACTCGTATTGCGGAGGAGCATTGCGATCCTCTTCTCATATTCTTACAACTGCGCTAACGACGACCTCAGTTTTGCTGTGGTTGGGACGCATTACCGCAAAGGTATTAACGACGGTGAGGCAATCAAGGTTGTAAGCACCCGAACTTTAATGAGAAGTCTAGCGAACAATTTGGCCATCCTGACGTTGGATTTGCTCATGTTAAGCTCCCTAAAGCGAATGACTCGGGCATCAACCCAGGAATGTTGGCATTATCTATTGGTTGGGGCGTCACGATAAATTCGCTGCTTGCTGCCGTCTCGAACGAGCTACGGAGCGACGCGGTGGAAGTGTGGAACAACGGAGACTGCAAGAAGGTACTTCGCTTGGATGGTGCCATTGATTAAATGGCATGTGCGGGAGGAGTGGAAGGGAAGGGTGTTTGCCGTGGTGACGTAGGTGGTCCGTTGGTTGCAGAGAGCGAAAGTGATGGTTCCATTGACGCACTCATTGGATTGGCGAACGGAGGCCTGGAAATGTGCGGAAAAGCTGGTATTCCCGCTATTTACACACATGCATCACTGCGATTCCCTGGGTTAGCGTTTCTATTACGCGAGAGGTTTGTTACACAACATTTAGTCCTTAGTGTGGCTCACTACGCGTCCGAATTGGTTCATCTTCATAATTTGCCAGTCAACGTCTTGCGGATAGGTCACGAAGGATTCAAAGCACATCATGGTCTTAACGTCGCTCTTTACTGTGATACGCTCCGCTGTCTTCTCAGATACAACCTCCACCGTCTGCGTGGTACGAATCAGCGTACTGAGCTGCAGCCTCTCAAAGGTCTCCGAGTCGTCATTCGGCTCCACCTCCACACTCTCCAGCTTCTCCTGTACTGAACTCAAAAGAGACAACAGCCCGCCGTATTCTGTTTCTCGCCCACAGTTCGCATCTGTTTCATCGTCTGCTTCTGCTCGGCGATCGCCTGCAAGGCCACAGCTCGGAGCTTCTCCTCGGCCTTCAGCATAGCACGAGTGACTCTCTCGAGCTTGACCCCGCTAAGGTATACCCCGGTAAAGTCGAGCTCCTTCAGCTCAAGACTGGACACTCCCAGTCCAAGTCTCTTTGCGCGAGGGAGAAACTGGGCCTGGTAGCACGTAGGCTCGAACATTTGCTCCATCTCATCAGCAATCGGAGGTTTGGGGGCCTTGTCAGAGGCAAAGTCCATTAATTCTGGTGAGTGCATCGCTCTAATAACGCGGTCGCAGGCGAATTTAGCGCCGTCGAGGAACTCAACGGCGTCGATCTCGGTCTTGGACGGTAGTTGGAGCTGAGCGTAAAGATAATAATTGTGGAATGCCCAGTTGTTCGGTGGGAACACGTTGTGCTCTTCATAGCGTTTCAATTGGTCACTCCGATCCAGAACCCGCTTAACATACTGCGAGAGATCGTCGTAGAAGTTGCGGGAGGGAGGCTGCGCGTCAGGGGGAGAGGAGAAGTGCTGTACACGGCGCGTAAGCTGCAGCGAGCGACGGGGGATCTGGCGTAGTATTTTGCACATAATTGTGGTGACACAATACTATTAAAAATAATCAGTACATTAATATGCGTATACATGTATACATCATATTTGATGTGCATAACCACTGTGTGCAACAACCCCACCCTGAATTTGCAGCATGACATAGGTCCAGGACTTCAGGGGGTCTTTGCAGACGCTTGATTGTGGGTGATGTGGCGTAGTGTCGGGAGAGACCGCAGGGCTGGATGGCGTGAAGGTAAGGCGGCAATGCGCAGTGCGTTGTTGAAAAGTTGTCACTAACGTTGGTACTTCGTCTGTGTACCATTTCTCGTCGTTATTTCTACCAAAGCCGGGCATCCCAAAACCTCGAGAGGCACTCTAACTGGTACCCTACGAATCCTCAATCGCTTAGGAGAAATGAAGCCCTATCGTGACCGTGAAATATTTCCTCCCCGCAATTGGACATTGCAGAATCTGAATTTTTCATAGATTTGGGAATACTTCAGCTCGCAGAAATCGACGCGGTGGAGTTCTTGAGTGGAGCCAAATTTGCATGCGAACAGGTTTTCAGGGGTACCATTTGCAAAATATACTCAAGTATGTCACGGGTGGGAAAACCCAGCAAGAAAGAGTCCCAAGCCAGACGTTCTCGGTGAGATTGAGGCTGTGCTCTCACTCACGTGCTACGAACAGCATATCGTGTTACACTCACAGAGTTCAACGTCGTTGACGCTCATTTAATCGGGGTGAACAATCAAGGGGAGACTGCAGGCAATGATGAACAAGTTCAGAGACACGGCTGGCAGAATTGCGGTTGACATCCGCAGAAAGAGGCCAGCAGGATCACCCTTGAAGGGCCCGAGCATCAGAGAACCCGTACGCGAGTCTGACATCCTGAAAGACCACGTCCATAACATGATGGAGGACATTTCGCTTCAAGACTATGACACTTCGACGGTGTTCGAGCAGAACCAACTGAAAACGCTGCTCAACACGACCCACACTATCGAAGCAGTGACCAAGGACTCGGAGCGGATCATTGTGAGGAGAGACATCAGCTCCATCCGCGTCTTCGAGTCACTCGTGGTGGAACATGGAGACGTCAACTGGCGCATAGTCAACTTCAACAGTGCTGTAAATCATCGAGTAGCAATATATTTTACTAAGTATACTGCAAGGAGATTCCAAAACTGGAATCTTATTTCCACCAATCACATTGCGATCTTTAATCGGCCACACAAAATCACACAGTTATCTGAGCCCAGATGCAGGTGATCCGTCGTGGTGTGCGCGTCGCGGTGCGTCTCCGCAGACCTCCGCACCTCACGTCGTCGGCCTCCTCCTCATTGCATGTACGCCCTACACCACCCTACCAAAAAATATCCTTTTTAAAACGCTCTCTAACAAGCTCAAATTCGACGCTAATACTTTGTATCAATCCCCCCCCCTGCAGCACTTTTCGTCTTCCTCCGATGCGAAACCTTCCGTCCTCGACGGTCCTGATGGAGTGCTGCAATTCGCTAATCGTGCCATGGAACGAGTGACTCAGATGGAACGATACCGTGAGCACAGCGTCTTCCCTCCGTCCAATTGGATGCTACACAACTACCTCCTCTTCACTAAACTGCAGCTGCCCACCAACACCGAGATCGACGCCGTTGATTTTTTAAATGGCGCTCGCTTCGCCTGCGACTTGGCTGTGAATACCATGTACTCTACAGAGTTCGTTAACTTCGCCACGGGCGCCATCTCCGAGTCCCCAGCGGCTGAGAAGATGAAATCCGGACTGTCCGAGACCTGCTACGACGCCTTCCTCTTCGCTATGAAGCAGACGAGTAAGACTGGCAACCGGTTCACACTCAAACAGCTGGACATTAATGGGGTTTACCTGTACGACGTCCACTGGGACCGGATGTCGCTGGCCGAGCTGAAGCAGGAGGAAGCGCTCGAAGCCTACAACCGAGCGCAGGTGGCTGAGCTAGAGGAGGACAAAGGAGATAAAGTGGAGGAGAAAGAGAAGGTGGTGGTGAACCCAATGGAGAATATCAGTCCGGAAGACCACACGGTCATGATTGAGCGTCTGCGGTTGGATGTGCAACTGGATGCGGTGGAGCACTTGGAAGTCGTGACAACGGAAGCCGAGGACCAGGTGTTTGAGAAAAATTCGTCCGCTGTGTGGCGCTTTGAATCGCTTGTTACACAGCCGGATGATGTCGACTGGCGGATCGTCAGCGTCCTATAGATGGGATTCCAAGTATCTACAGATTGGGTTTACTTGGGGTAGTTGCTGGTGAAGATTTTAAGAAAATGTTTTTCTTAGAAAACTAAAGAATGTTGTGTGAATCGTGAAATGTGGATCTGTGAACTCACAAATATGTGAAATGTGGTTGCTAAGAGAAGTTTAGTACCGATACGTGTTCCATCTTCGTTCTATTAACCTACGCATTCATAGCACAATAAGGTTGATGTTTTAAGCCATGCAAGTGCCGTTACCACCCGTAATGGAATCAATCCAAGCTCGAGCATTGGAAACTCGAGAGTAGACGCCAGGGTAGCCTTCTCGTCCGCACGTATTGTCTTTGCTCCAGCTCACGATTCCAATTAGCACGTCCTCTGTTGTGTCCGACCCTTCCAGGATGAGAGGCCCACCGGAGTCTCCAAAGCAAGAATCATGGTTGAGAACTCCGCCTGCGCACACCATACTGGAGTCGATGGTGGCATTAGCAGCACATGCCTCATCACTCACAAGCTGAAGGTCTACGCGCTGTAGCTCGTAAGGATTGGTACCATTGACCTCCGCATCTGTGCCCCACCCCATTGTTACAGACCACTTCCCCGCTTTGAAGTCGGAGTCGTCGGGAGCAGCGAGCTTCACAGGCTTGAACTTGCTTGGCCTCTGGAGCTCGAGTACCATGTAATCGTCGGCATAGAGCACATTCTCGGAGTAGTTTTGGTTGGGCATGACTGACACGACCCGGATTTGTTCGCCATCCAGAGTGCCGTTGCGGTAGTGAGTCCCAACTGAGGCCCAGCGAATGTCGTAGACCACGCAGTGCGACGCTGTGAGGACATGTGTCGGAGAGATAAGACTACCGCCGCACAAATTATTGCCGTCGCGCGTTGATCGAAGGCTGGCAACGTAAGTCTTGGTGCCAGTCGGTACAACTTCTCCGCTCATGATGAGTTGTCGCTGAGTGTCAGTCTCATAGGCACGTGCAGAAGACCCGATGCACACAAGCCCAAAAGCAAGAACGCGAAACATAGTCCTTGGTTGACACGTTTGTGGGTCGTCGGGGAGAGAATTAAAACTGTTTGATCATTCTGATGAACTGTAGGCAGGCAGACGGGTGCAGAATCTATCCAGGCTTGGTCTGAGGGATGTGCTTACCGTCAACAACCATGGTGTTCATAGACCTCACAAATTTGAAGTAAAAAACGGGGAAAGAAAAAACTCAAAGGAGTCACATAGTCACATTAACACATGGGATTTTTTTTCGAATTCAGGCTAAAGATTACCGGCATTTAGATCTCTGTTGCCAGGGCAGCTTGCGTTTTATGAACTTTCAAGCAAATATATACGCTTCCAAAATGCCATCATTGCCACTTCCGAGACTAAAACAACGCGCCACGCGTCCTTTGGGACCTCAGTAAGGCGTTACGTGTATTAGAGTAACACAAAGCGTTTGGGATGTGTGGGGCATGCACGCACAGCACTCGACGATACCTTCATCGCGGGGTAATCATGGGGTCAATGCACATCCAACGTGCCAATTCCAGTCTGGGATAAATTTTGGATCGGAATTCCGATTACTGTCAAATTTACGCAAGACCTCTTTTATTTCGGGAAATCGGGCCAGTTTCCCGAAATGTTTTTTCTCGCTCTACAGTACTTGTTGGAGGAAGCTAAACGGGTTGACGCAATATCACTAGTTGCTACCAAACAATATATTAAATAAGTTCATGCATAACGATAGTAGTTCCAGTACGTGTATTACTACTCATACACTTGAAGCAGGTATACTATGGATTATAGTGCCTGTCTGTGGAGACTGTCTACGTTCGTTCCTTTACTTTATGTTTCCCGGCGGTACCACCCCGGGGGTGGCACCCCCTATACAGCTTTACTTCAAGAATTGGAAAGCTACTTTATGTTCGTGAAGCTTGTTCATAGAGTGGCATGCACATCTGTGTTTTGCTCATTCCACTCTCGTCTATGCAAAACAGCGGCGACAGGGAAAGCTTTGTAAAACCACGAAATTCATCTTAATCCTGCCACGTGGGTTGCTGCTGTGTGAACCAGCTTCATTCATACTTTTCCTCCTGGTTGAATGCACGCGATGAAGCTTGTTTCCTCTCTTAGTTTCGCTGCATGGATGCTGGCAGCCGTGGAAGGAGGATCGTCGAACGTTTACACTGTCCCGGTCTCCAATTTAATCCCAGGAAACAATCTCACCAGCGGCGCAATCGAGACTTCGCTGCAAGACACCAACGATGGATCAAACTACCCGCTCAGCAAGACAAGTATCGTACCCAGTGGCACCAAGACGTACGTTGTTGGTCTTCGTTCTACCGTTGGAGGTAACAATTTCTGCAGTGCAACTCTGATTACTCCGAGACATCTACTGGTCGGATCAAATAGCATCAGGGATAACATCCGCTGGGCTTCAATTGGTTCGCACTACGCCAATGGTACACAAGACGGCGAACAGATCAAGGTCGTCGCGATACTCAACCATCCAAATAGCTCACTTGGGGGCTTCACTGACGACTTCACTATTCTCGTTCTGGAGAAAACCAGCTCATTCAAACCGGTGGCGTTGGCAGCCGCAGACGATTCCGACGTCAAGGACGGTGAGTGGGCTGCTAAAATGGGTTGGGACGACACGGGAGGCGAGGACACTATGGCTTACGAGCTGACGCGAGAAGACGTGCAGTTGATGAGCAACGCGAACTGCTTGAAGGAAACGAAAGTGGATGACAGCATGTTGTGTTCGCGTGGTGCCCCTAATGTGACATCATGCACGGGTGACTATGGTGGCCCAGTGGTGGTGGAGCGTCCGAGTGGTGACGTATTGGTTGGGATATCAAGTTGGGGTGGCGATTGTGGTAAACCTGGGTATCCTAGCATTTACTCCCGCGTGTCGAGTGCTCGCCCGTGGATTGAGTCTGTTGCTACTGGCGTGTGCTTTCACTAAGCTACCAGATTTAACATCTTTAATTTCGGGACAATTTATTTTTTGGAATAACTCTTTTTAGATTTTGTCGTACACGTGTATCGGAGTTACATGTTTTACGTACACCGATCACTTAATTATTCTAAAAGAGTTGGACCCCGAAGAATAATGTTTTTAGGGCAAATGTAGAGAGATCGGTGTAACGATGTTCCAAGACAGCTCAAGGCATCGTAATGGCAGGCAAATAAGTTTGTGCTTATCGCATATTTTTGGTGAGTTGCTGACCAAACCTGGCGTTTTTAAATAGTTGTGCACATTTTCTTTGATATTGTTACATGTAGTCTTTCTACAATTGGTACAGTTCGTTTCTCAGAGGTACGGGTATGCTTTGGAAGTCTCTCAATAGCTCAGCAGATTACAAAATACAGATGACGGACAGTCACTAGAATCTACAGTATCCCACCGTGACAGTTTTGCCCTTAATTGGATTAAAACGCACATACACGCTGCGGCTGCGAAAAAAGCGGCAGCATCTGCTTACTGTATCAGTGTAGTTTACGAGTACTGCCAGAGCTCAAAAACAAATGTGTACATCCATTACCTTATTTCAGCAAAAGTTACAAGTGTTTTGTTTCAAATAGAGTAGTGGTTCTAACCTGTTGAAGAAATGCTACGCACCAGTAAACACCCTGACCGTTAGATACTTGTACTCCACGTATCAACGTACAGTCAGTAGTCATGAAAACACGAGGTACGGCCGTCGATAAATGCAAGTTACAGACACAGCCTGCGACGTTGCTCTCGCCGGCTGAACTGTGGATGGTTGTCACCCCGATGGGTACACATAAACTATGAGTGTTGCACGAAAGTTGTGGACTAGGGCTGAGGCGGAGGCTGGGATAGCATCTGGACACGGAAGCAGAAAGCTCTCCTCAGCCGTTCACCGATCAAACCATCGGGAAAATTCGGAGTGGTTACCGCAACCGTATCTGCGACATGAATGGTTGCTATAATTCGGCCTATGGTTGCTTTTATTAGATTTCAAAAATTTCCGGGTAATA